AAGAAAAAGAAAAAGAAAAAGAAAAAGAAAAAGAAAAAGAAAAAGAAAAAGAAAAAGAAAAAGAAAAAGAAAAAGAAAAAGAAAAAGAAAAAGTCCCCAAACCTAAAGAATTTGCACAGGTGAAGTGCACACTTCCAACAGAGTGTGATAGGATCACCTTGTAAAATAATTACCACATCAGTGTTTAGACAAATGTCTGCTCCCTAAGTGTGTTTAATGTTACTGCTGACAGATAGGTAACTAAGATTTCTAAGTGTGCTACTGACAAGAAGACAGGAGATGAATGTATTTATGGAGTTTTTTAAAAAAACTTTCTGTATTGTTGGTATCTTAAAAAAAACCTGGATATAAATGACCTCATTAATGCAGCCAGAGTGTTGCAGTGTAATACCTCAAGACAGTAAACATCAAAGATTCCAACAGTTAGAGATGACAATATTAAAAACAGATTCCATTAAATGAAAAATACAATTGACCGAGTATTGTGAGAATACATTGGAAATTTAACTTGAAGTTTCATTTTGCCCTTTTAAAAACAAAGGGAAGAGCCATACCTGAGGTGTGATTTCAAGGGGGTGTCCAGCCTGGAATATTTCTAGTTCAGTTTACAGAAGTACTGAGAACCCAAAATATTCCACAAGCCTCTACAAGGCACTGTGTAATTTCCAAAGATCCAATGCACCTAATGCTGCACAGGACAAAAGAAATCCCTGGCTATCTTAAGGCTTTCCTGTTTCTTTGCAAGGTTGTAGCCACTCCAGCAAACAAATCCAGAAACCCCAGTATTTTTTTTTCCTTTGCATCTTGGTCTCTAAGTCTGTTTTGACAAGTTTTTTTTTTGGAAACTTTGGACACAAAGAAGATGGAAGTGGTCACTTGAGATAGACAAAATGATCCCCCTGGTAAGGGCAAACATTTGGCCTTCAGAATTAAGAGAATGAAGAACGTTTGCCAAGATTTTCCTGAGAAAGAGCCACTCTGCTCTCCATCAGCACAGAAGAAAGGTTAGACCTCAATGCCCTCAGTGCAGTCAGCCTCAATAAAATTAGCAGCTACTCAGTTTTCAGCTGATTAAGGCAGTGGCAGGATCTGGAGTGAACATTCTTCTTTGCAGACCTGGGGTGATTGTTTTGGCCTCCTCACAAAGAAGGATATTTAAAGGTTTTGAACTTATTTTATTCCCCTGCTGCTCACAGGTCTTCCCTGACTGGTTGTGCATAACCCAAAATAGCAAACAATACACTGGCAGCAATTATCCTTATTTTCCTCCACATCCAACTCCTCTGCAACAGATTTTGGGTTTTCTCTGTTCTCTGCTGTCGACATTGGGAAATCAGTACTGAGGTGCTGGGTGGAGGAAGAGTTTTGTAAGCATCTCTTTGGTATTCAGAAACTAAGCTGGTTGCCAGCTTTCAGACAAGGAGGAAAAGGAAAGAAGTGGCTTGTGGGAGCCAAAAAATGTCAGAACAATGTGAAAAAGCATGTTACATCATATTTAGGACTTCTGCAGCCCTGTATGAGAATAGGGAGGAAGGCAGGTGGGAGGGGAGATGGGAAGGGGAAGCCATAAAATGGGATTTTATTCTGTGTTTCTCTCAGTGACTGACGTAGACAAAAAGAGAGATAACATTTTTCTTTAGCCTCCACTGCCCTGTTTTGTTCTCAGTTCTCACCACTGAAAGTTAGCCAACTTATATTCTTTCTAAACAGTATCTGATGTGTGCATTTAAATAAAATAAATGACTAAAAAAGGAACAAAGGAAAGTTCCAGACAGGGCCCAACTCTGGACAGTTCATTAGAAAACAGACCAAGAGCCCAAATTTGTACCTAAAAACCCAACAAACACTGGCACCTCTACTGATGTTGCCAAACCAAATCTTCTACTCAGCTGATAGAAACTTGTTGAACAAGCTTCTTCACGCTTCCACAAAACAGTAGAAGATAAACAGAAATAAAACCAAAAAAAAAATGAGTGGAAACTCAAATCTACATTTTGTCACTAATGCCTGTCCCCCACAGGAAGCAAAGCAAATGAAAACACAACAAAAAACATTTTTAGAAAATCATTCTCATGTTATTGGTGATGTGACCCAAGTTTTGAGCAAGGCCAATTTCCTGCTGTTCCATCTCCATCTCTGCCTATCTTTCAGCCTTGGGTCAGGGTGTCTCCAGGGTCTTTTGAACTGCATTTTATTTTGAGAAAGTTTGTTTTTCCCGGAAGAATCATGAGGGGAATGCTGAGATACAACAGCAAATCCCATCTGCCACGCTCAGATTTCTCAAAGTGCCTGGAGAGCTTAACCTTTCCTCTGCCTGTGTCAATGTAAAGGAGGAAGAGGGATGCAGAAGGAAAGAAATTTAAATTTCTAACCTACTCATTCCTAGTTTCCTGCTAAAAGGAAGAACTTAATTTCTATTTCATCTATCCCATGCTTTTAGCAGGCAGGATCCTTTTAAATAAAATTTTCACTAGGAAATTGTTACCTTCTTTGAATTTACAAACATAATCACAAACCAAGTATTTCCTTAAAAAGAAAAATAAAAATCAAACACAGCATATAAAAAGAAAGGAAAAAATTTAAAATAAAAAAGATTATTTGGCTAGGAGAGGTTTTTACCTAACTGGAGAAAATGCTTTTCTACAGAAGCCATTAATTTCAATGTTTGCCTTGAAATCAAGAGAGCAGCTCTTTCTAGAGTTACCAACGGGATTGTGCTTTATTCTGCTGATTAAAGGTAGGTGGGTAATTGGAAGGGTTGAATTGAATTGCAACAGGTGACTGCAGTAAAAGCTGAGATCTGACTAAAAAAATTAGAGAACACAAAATCTAGGGGTTTTGTCATTACTGGCCTCTGTGCAGATATTAGAAATAAGCAAGGAAAGCCCCAGCAAAGCAAATGCAAGCCTCTTGTCTCCACTGAGGGAGCAGGGCCATTTCCATCAGCTTTTTGGGCTTTGTTGCTGCAGCAGGGTGGTGACAGCTTAGAAATTACAGAACCACAGCGCAGAGAGCACCTGAGCCACTGCTGAGGTTTCCAGCCCAGTTCCTCCACTCAGTGCCACAAGCAGGGCCCCAGAGATGGCTCCTGATCTGCTGGGGCTCAGGCAAGCCCAGTTTTCACTTGGAACTCACCCAAAAGCGTTCTCAGTCGGTTTGAGTTTGGAGGCGGGGAGCTCACGCTCTCCGTTCTGCGCCTTTTGCTCAGGAACACCCTTCTTGCGATCCCAGACACTTTTCATTTCCTCTTTGGGTGCTTTGCCTTTGTCATCTTTTACCTGCTCAGAAGACAGCACAAATCACAGAACAAAACACAAGACACACACACGAAAAAAAGTCAGAGTGATGCATTCTAAATAACAGCAAAGAAATACAAATTTCTTGGCAACTGTCTTCAAATTGTTTACATGCTATAGAGCAGAAGTGGTCTGCAAAGCTCTGAACTGTGATCAACTATCACTTTGCTGTCCTGACCTGAATTCCAGGTCAAAGCATCCTGAAAATAATATTATCAGTTTTCTATAAAAGTTTGCTGTGGCCATGGGACTGTGCCACCAGACTGCTTCACTCTGCAGCTGCACTCCCACTCCTCCCTCCCACTGCAGCATCATTCACCTGTTGCTTCTTAAGATTTTGGGTTGCAAACTCTCTGGGAGTTGCCAATACATTTTTGGTACCAGGTTTAGGGCATTGGTGCAATAAAAGCAACACATAACCTCCAACAAATGTCAAGCTTGTTTGACAAAGTTCACTCTCAGTGTCACAGCAGTGGGATACTTCATTATTGCAAGAACAACAGCCAAAACAAAAAAATCATCTTTATGTCAGGCAAAACTTACTCTGACAAAAAGCACAGTCCTGCCTGGGGCTGGTCATGGGTAGCATTGTAAGACATGAATATTTAAAAATATGAAGAAGGAAGTGCTCTTGAAAATATCGTCAAAAATTCCCTTTACCCTTAAAGAGTTTTGTCTTATGATTCTTAATAGTGATCAAGAATATTTTGTGGATAAATTTCATTTTCCAGTATTCCTTCAGAGTTATGAGCTTGAAGTAGTTATCAATACCACAGATGGCCTGAGCCCAGCAAGCTGAGTCATGGCTAGATGCTGGTAAAAGGAGAAAGTGAATTGATTTAAGTTATGTATTCTCAGGTAGAAATATCCTCTGTTAGTTAAGACTGCCAGCCAAAACAAACTTTCAACAGCAGAAGATGAAACGTTAACTCCAAAGTATTTATTTGCTTTCCCCAGCTCTGTGCTGAAGAAAGCTTCTAACTGGAAAGAAATACCTTCTGTGTAGAATTGAAATGCAGATCTTTAGAAAAAAAATGCTTTGGAAGCCTATTGCAATCTCATTAGCTAACTATAAAGATAAAGAACTTCTGTAACAGCCCTGTCTGTGACACAGGTGCTCTTAAAGGTGGCTTAAGATGCACCATGAAATAAAAAAGTAGAAGACAGCTTCACACCCCAAATGAAAAGAAATTCCTGTTCTTCCTCAGCAAAGAATGACTCCTGGAGAAGCAAAACCTTTACTGATGAGGAGTGGAAAAAAAGTACTGATGAGAAGCAAAATCATTACTGAAGGATGAGTTCAGGGTCTTCAAAGCCCAGATCCTCCTCAGGCACTGGATGAGGTGCAGATGAAGCCCCAGAGTCAGTGCCTGACTTCACCTGAGGCCAGGCTGCTGCTCCGAGAGATGCGACGGACACCGCCGCCTTTTAGCTGAGCTCAGGATGGTTAAACCATTTCAGCAGATTTGCTGCTGCTGGGGGATGCTGAACACAACCAACAGAGGCATTTTCTCTGCTCTGAGAGCAGGCAGCAGCTTTTCCCACCCTCTCCTGCCAACAGGAGCTGGCAGCGGCTCCCTGCCGGACAAGAGGGGAGTTCAGCTTCCCTGGCCCTGCATTCCTTGGCCACGATGCTGCAACTGCTACAAGCCAGGCCACGACTGCCAGCGGCCTCAAGGAATGGTCTGCTGTTTTCTGGGCTGAGACAAGCAGGGATGTTCATTTATCCTGGTGAATGCCATCAGAGCATCATCTTCTGGGCGTTGCCAGATAGGGGTGAGCTGGTGGTGGTGTTCACAGCGGGAATCTCGGCTGCCTGCTAAAAATCTCCCAACCCTTCAGCCCCAGTCTGGGTGATGCTGAAAGCAGAGGTGCTGATTGGTGCAAGGTTTCTTGTGCCAGGATGCCTGTCCTGGGATTTTGAGGGCATTAGGTTTCCTTTGCTGAGATTTTCATCAAGACCTTCCTAAGTCTTATTTAAAAAGCCAACACTTCCAGCTGCCTTATGTATTCAGCTCCACTGGGGAAGGTTGTATCTCTTACATCTTAATTGAAATCACTGAGAAAACTAATATTAAAACAATATAGTTTAAAAAGTAATAGGTTAGGAAATAGCATTTCAGAAGCCAGAAGGATTTATGATAATGTGTCTGCATTTGAGAAAACCATTAACACAGCTTGGCCTCTTTACTCAAAAAGATGGTAAAACAAGATATCACAGAAGCATTTCACATCTTTTGGGCTCAATCCCGCTCCTAATTTCAATACCAAAGCAGAGATCAATCAGGAAAGAAGCAGAAACCTTTGTATCTCATTCCAAAGGCAGGCAACAGATGAAGTTCTCTGCCTTTCTCACTGCTTCCCTACATTATAGACTAATTCAGCTTCTGCTGAATTAAAAAAAAAAAACTCCACTTGGAGCAGACCAGTGTTATCACCTGAACTGAAATAGTTCACATGTTCTCAAAAATCTTGGTATCAATCTAAAACATGACCAAAGGCATGGTTAACATATTTCCAGCTTTATGTATTGATATTTTTATCCCTTTCTATACTGCCTGTTTTCTGACAGATTTTCATGCTATTACTTGAGAGTTGAGATTTCTAAATCTTGACTTTGAACACCTTCAGACTGAAGCAAATCAGTTATTGAGGCTGGAGACCCATCTGGCAGATTTGATTCCTTACTTGGGCTCTGTTATTGGGTGAGTTAAAAGCTGTGGGCATTTAGTGCTTCCCTGCAGAGTCATCTGCCATCCCCAAATACCATGAGAAAAGCAACTGCTGCAGCATGTCTAGCCAAACTGGAAGCAGGAAATACCAGGAGTCTCACATCATGAGAAAGCTTGTTCTTGTGAACTTCTCAGGTCACTTTTAAGAACCAAAAACTCTGCAGAAGTTCAGAAAAAGAGACTTTTTTTTTTTTTTTTTTCCCTTGCCAAATTAATCAAAACCTGAACTTTGTGGTCCAAAACAAAAGCAAAACCTGATTATTTAGATACATTCTATTCCCTCATGGTCTTGTTCATGAAACACTGGCATCCTCTTAGCTGCAGGCACTTTCAGAAAGAGACTTCATTGAATTTGTATGTCCTGGAAATGGGGGGGGAGAAGTGGAGAAGGGAGCTTGATCTTGCCTGACCATCAATTTTTGTTCACGTGTAAAGAAACAACAACTGAGATTTTCAAGACATTTTGAATGCTCAGGATGGGTTTTCAGCATTGCAGCAGAAGTGGGATTCTATTAAGTTGTCTCAACTTCAGCATCCAAAGATGGAAACACTAAAATCACAAGTAACTTTTAAAAGTCTTGCCAATTTCCTGGAATAATCTAGCCCAGTGGGTAGGTTTTAAAAGCATGATGAGAGCTCCAGGGAGAGTTGGCCAAGCTCTACATAAAAACAAGCAGGACAACTGTGTCTCAAGTTCCCCACAAATCAAAGTTTGTGGTCAGCTACAGACTCCTCTTTACATTTACTTGTAATATTCAAAGATTGCATGCAAAAGTGAATTGTGGAAACTGGTTCTGTCTTCTTAATATAATCCATCCCTTCTTTTTTTTTTTTTTTTATGTGCAGCTATTTCTTCACCACTCTCTGAGGGTGAGCTAAACATCTACAGCATGTTCCAAACTCAAATGGGTCCAAACTTCCAAGGCTCTGAGCAGTCTCCCCTAACCAGGATCAGGGGTTGTTTTGAGACCTGATCCTGGTCTCAAAGGATCTGAGACCTTTTTGGCTCTCAAAACTGCTGCACATCACTGAGCACTGCTCTGTGTCCAGCTGTCCCCTGAAGAGCAAATGGTCCCCAAATCTTATTTACTTACCATACAGTAAAACACCATGGCACCAGCTCCTGTGTTTACAGTGGAAATGCAATGCAGTACATTTGGTAGATTTTTCTCTTTAAAACAAAAGAAGAATCTTGGGTATGCACAGTTTTTGTATCACGGGGTATTGCAGCTTGCGGGGGAATTATTAGTTAAGGCAGTCAAGTGGCCAAGAGGCCTAGATTATTATTATTATCATTATGATGATTATTATTAATTGATGATAATGATGATGATAATTGTTATTATTATAGCAGGGTTTTTTTTCATAGGGAAAAAGTTCACAGTAAAGTGTGAGGAAACCAGGATGATTAGTTGATACTGTCCTGAAAAATTCATCCCTAGAGAGAAAACCATACTTGTGTTGTTGACTGAACTGAGTTTCCTGGAATATTTGTTTTAAGACAAACAGGAATTGGTCCTAAAGCCCCAAAAGAATAACTACTTAAGAATTTACTTAATTTTAAGCACTTAAGGAGCTTCACCCCTATTTATTTCAGCAGGATTACCCATATTCTTGAAGTGGAGCACAAGCTTAAGTACTTTGCTGAAGAAGCAACTTTCACTTAAAGGTGCCTTATTTGCTTTCATATCTCAAGTTTCCCTATCACATCTAAATCAGTGGTTTATGAGTTACCTGATCTTTTATGGAGGTAGCTTGGAGCTTCTCTTCTGGCAGCTTTTCCTTTTTAGCTTCCACTTTTTCTTCCTCCTTTTTTTTTTTTTGGGTTTTCAATAATTTTTATTTTTAACACAAAAACACCGCACCTCTTTGCGCCTCTCGTTTCTCCGCGCTGTGCTCGCGTACCAATCCAGTGTGCAGCCACAACTCCATCACGTGCTGCTGTGCCCCCTCCACCCTCTCCAAATCCTCCCATTCCTCCCCACCTGGGCTTTTCTCCATGCTCAGTGTGCACAGAGCCCTTCCTCACCATCACCCTTAGCACACAGCATTCCTCACACAGCTCCACAGGCGCTCGGAATATTTCCTGCCAAGGTGTGCCTGCCTCCACCTCATCTGTTACTGAGTCAGGCCAGTTTATAACAGCTGAGGGGGGAAGAAAGGCAGCAAAAGCACATGCAGAGCTCTGAACGTGCAAGGTTTTCTTGGATGGAGTGAGGTCAGGCCTGTTGTGCACTGAATTATTGGCAAGCAGGATGGGATTGATTTTTAAAAAGAGAGAGCGACAGCACAAGTATTAGTAACTTCAGTACAGGGCTAGATCTGTGAGGAAACTCCAATTCCATCTTTTCTTGCATTACATTTCACACAAACCACAGGTGTCTTATTTTGGTGCAAAATGTTTACTGTACCTGCTTTTTTAAGAAAGCTGCTTGAGGTTTTTCATCTTCTACTTTCTTCTCTTTTACCTGTTTATCTTCTATTTTCTGTTCTTCCATCTTTTGTTTTTGCTTTAATTTCTCTGCTTCTAGTTTAGCCTTTTCCTCAGCTGCCCTCTTCTCCTCTTCTGCCTTTGCCCTCTCCTCAGCTGCCCTCTTTTCCTCCTCAGCTTTCTGTTTTTCCTCAGCTGCCCTCCTCTCCTCTTCAGCTTTAGCCCTCTCTCTTTCCTCAGCTGCCCTCTTCTCCTCTTCTGCCTTAGCTTTCCTCAGCTGCCCTCTTCTCTTCCTCTGCTTTTTGTTTTTCCTCAGCTGCCCTCTTCTCTTCCTCTGCTTTTAACCTCTCCCTTTCCTCTGCTTCTTTCCTTTCTTCCTCAGCTTTTTCCTCATCCCTAAGCTTCTCTTTATCTACAGCATCAGTTACACTTTGCGTCCCTTCTGGCACAGCATTTGTATCATTCTCTGCTTTGTGCTCCTCTGCATTTACAGTTACTGCCTCTTCTTTATCTGTGGATTTTTCTGCTGTCACATCTACCTGATTTTCCTCTATGGGGAGCTCCTTTGGTTTCTCCTCCTGTACCTCCTCCTTGTCCTTTTCTTCTTTTTTTCCCTCTTCTTCCCCATCTTGCCTCCAGTTGTTCCTTTGGTACGATTTGGTAACTGTTTCCGTCTCCTCAACCTCACAGCGTCCTCGGCGCGTTTCAGCCTTCTCCTCTTTCCCCGTGGTCTCATTTTCTTCCACATTGTTTACTTCTCTCCTGCTGGGCAGTGACAAGCTCCCATCTGTGATCGTGGGGTCAAATTCCTTTTGGCGTTCCAGGGCTTCCTGCAGACGTTTCTGGCGTCTCTCCTCCCGTCTCGCCAGCCTCTCCAACAAAGCGGCCTCATCATCTGTAGAGCGCTTGCTTTCCTCTCCTGCCACGCTGTGTAGAAGGGAAAGGTTTGCATTAAAAAAAAATAAAAAATAAAAAATTCTTTCTAACAATAATATGCACTTCACTGTTTCTAGGAAAAAATCCTGCTGTAACATCATTCTTCGGCTGGGAAACACAACAGGCTACACAAACACGACAGGTTACACAAAAAATTCAAAATTCAGCTGCTGTTTTGTTAATCTAGATCCATTCTCCTTGCCTGAAATAAATCACTTCTTGTGCTCAGCATCTGTGAGCACTTGCCATCACAATTCTGGTTTCTTCTATCAATTGTGTTATGGCCACTGGAAATCTGGGTGTATTATTTGTGACCATGTGAAACTATACTAAAGTGATGGACAGACAGGAAGGCCACTCATCTTGTGACAAGAGGGTGGTGACATGAGTGATGTGGTGTCGTGGTTTAGGGGCTACAGGGGCACTGCTGGGTTGACTTGATGACCTTCAAGGTCTCTTCCAACTTTGATGATTCCATGATTCCAAGTGTCACCTCCTTCCATGAGCTTTTCTGCTCCTTATTCCTGGCCAGTTCTGGCTCTAGAGCTCACACCCAGCACCCAGCAGGCATTTTGCAGCCACAGCTTGAGGACTGGCTGCCACCCAGCTCTTTGGCCACACAGCACCATGACCCCTGTGAGCAGAACCAAAGATGTGGTGTTTTGTGAGGCCTGAGAGAATCTGAGAGCCACCACGAGCCCCAGCTGAATCACCCCACAGACAGCCTTGAGGACACCTGGATACGGGCCATGAGCACGGCCTCAAGCCCAGAGTCAGTGATGCTCCCACCCTACCATGGAGACACAGCCAGGGTGATCCTCAGTGTGAGGTCCTTCTTCATTTTAAGGATGGACAAACCCAGTTGTCACTAAAGGACATGAAATGATACACACGAACACTCTCAATGTCAGAACAAAAAACTGTCTTTTATTCTCTGACTCCACTATTTATAGATTCTCAACAATGACCAGGGATTGGATATTTAAGTTACACCTTCCCAAGCACACTGGTCATGAGAAATGCCCATCAAAAGATGTTTCTTAGAAGGAATGTGATAAACAACTTATGTTTATAGGACTTTCATGGGAAAGTAACTAAAACTGTGAAAACATTATCAGGGCGACACCCAGTACTTCAAATTCAAGCACCGAAGCAAACCTCTTCCAGATACTTCTCTGCTCTGAACAAAAATCACCATTGGCTTGAACAGGAAACAGCATCAGACATTTACCTGTTTTGGGCATTAACCTCGGATTTCTCTGTTACTTCTCCTGAGAGATCTCCCTCTTCCTTTTGCCGCAGCCTCTCCTGCCGAGCCCGCCGGCGACGTTCCCTGGCGGCTTCTTCGTCATCGTCATCGTTTCTCTGGTAGGACAGCCTGCAACAGGGAAAGGGAAACAAAGGTGTTATTGCATATTGGACACTGAAAAAAATCCCAAAATGCAGTTTTCTAGAGCGCAGTGTGGCTACAGTGCCTGCTCCATGTGCTTTAGTGAAAACACGCTGTCAAATTGAGACGCATAATTTCAAACCCCGGTTTCCTTTTGTTTCTCAGGAGCAAACTTGAGAAAATAGACCCTGTGAAGGCAGCAGCCACACCACACCATCAGCTGGCTCCTAGAAAACACCAAATCCATAAAAGCCCAGCTCTGTAGCTGAGCAAACATGCTCCTAGCCTGCTCCTGTAGGAGCACTCACCGCAGCGTTTGAGCAGCTCGGGCCCACGTAGCTGGAATTGGACTCAGCAAAGCAGCTTTTCATCAGCCTCCCCTAAATATCACACTCTGAAAATGGTGACAGCATTCTACAGCTCAAAGACTAGAAAGCAGGGAGACACAAGTACGACAGCAGCTCTCAGTGGTCGGTTCTGAGTGCCAAACATCTGACACCCACAAAATTTTTGTGAGCCCGGAGCCCTGCCAGGCCAAATCACACAAGATCGCTGCTGTGATGAAAGCCTGCAGCTGAGAACCCATTGTACTCATCTAACCCAACAGATGATTACATTTAGTTTCATCCTACTTGAAAAGGACCTTAAAATCCTAATAATCCTGTGTCCCATTCAAATCTTTGCTGAGGTTATTACTGTGTGAGATAAAGGGAGAGGCCTGCATTCCTCTTATCTTTTTGAGCAGGGAAAGTGAATTTGGAAGCCAACATGTGCCAGACCCAGTCAGGACATTCATTTACTTTGCTTCTGGCAGTGGTCTGATGCATCATGGTTAAGGAGTCTCTCTTCTTTACATAGTCACGTATTTTAGTGCAGCCATGAACAGAAAAAAAAAATGGAGTTCTTCACTGACTAAAACCAAGTACAGATAATGTTCGTATTGCAAATATTTTAACATTAAAAGCAACTAAACCAGTTTGATTTAGCCATCAATCAGACTCTTTGGGGCCAAACCTCTCCCATCACTGTGTTCTGACACTATTTTTCTCCTTTGCTGGAAGAAGGGTGAAAGTACAGGACCAGCAATCAGTTATCCCAATTTTACTTTAAGAATTTAAAGTGTAAAACATGGCTGAGCCACTTGCCAGACCTAAAACACCATTTTCATCCTGAGTGCAACATAGAATTTAATTTGCTAATTTTGTGCTCTGCTTCAAGAGCTTGCAACCTTTCCCTTTGTAGAAACAACTCTTCTCAAAGAGAGTGCAAACCATGAGCAGCATGGCCATGAGGGATCACAGTGAGGGATGAGGAAGAAAGGAAGGAGCTGAATTAAAAGCCCTAAAGATGATGCAGGGAATCACCTGCCATTTTTAAGCAACTCCAAGGGGTATCAACATTTTGTTTAGGTCTACAACAGAAAGGATATGAATACAATAATAAACCAGTGGGGTCTTTAATTTCCACAAGAAAGAGCAGACCACATAAAGATGAAGTTCATTCCACTCTCTGTACCCACACAAAACACCCCTCCACAGAAAGGAGAACAACTGCTTCTAAAAGCCTCTTTAAAATGCCTTTTATAAAGCACCAGTTGCTCAGCAAACTAAAAAAGGAAACCAAAAGAATACCCTAAGCAAAAAATTCCCACAAAATCTTATCCATTAAACAGATATGTACTTCCTGTCCTTGGACACTTATCACATAGATCATCTGTTAAGAAAGCTGAAAATGTCTCTTAATACGATTCTAAATTCATCCATTGCCTTCCTCCATATCAGTGCAGTTCCCTACAGGCAATAAATACACCAGGTATGGGCTCCATCCATGAGAGTCACCTTAAGTATTCATTTCTGTTCACCAGCATTCATGCAATCTGCCCAATAATCTGTAAATATTGGGAACAACATAGGATTAAACATGGGAACAACGAGTTGCAGTTTTTTTAAGAGATGTGTTTCTTGTTTTCCTTACAATCATGTTAACACTGCTTTCAGTGTAAAGAGTGACCCTCATTCTGCCACTGTTACAGATCCCTGTAGCAGCCCACCACGAGCAAAATCAACTTGGGAGCTCTTCAGAGCTTATCTTCCAATTGCCTGCATCTTTTGACATTCTTCAGATGAGGAGTAAATAAAAAATATAAAGTATTTCTCCAAGATTTCAACTCTGTTTATCAGACAGATGGAAATCTGATGATCCACGCTGGCCTGGGTTGTTTCTCCACCCTTGGAGAGCAGCCTTGCTGCCCAGCACACACCCAGCAGCTAAATGAAACCAAACTGACATCCATTTGTCACCTTTCACACAGCTTTGCAGGCAAGCATCTCTCCACAATCAGCTGTTCCAGCTGTCTCAGGCACTGAGACCACAACACAGCATGATCTCAAAAGAGGTCATGGTAAAAAAAAAGTATGCCAAGCCTGCTGATACAACTCTCTTGTGGAATATCTGACTATTCTGAGCTGGAAAGGACCCACGAGGATCATCGAGTGCCAGCTCTCAAGGGCTGAAATCCCAGACCTGAAGAGCTCAACAACAAATCTCATTAGTATTTAAGTCTAAAAATGTTGCCCTCAGATTGAATGGGCGGGGGGGGGACTTTGAGTGAAAAATAAATCTGCTGGATTGGGAACACAGGACATGTGGCCATTTACTTCAGACCTTTTCCAGAGCAATACAGCACTCTATTTTACACCAAACACTGAATTTATGCAAAGTTATAACCCAGCAAGGAACTTGGTAATAGCTGGGATGATTATGGGGCTGAAACCATTTCATACAATCCAGCTTTAACTGGTTTCCACTTGAAACCACAAATCAGCTCGAGCATTATCTAATGCACTTTGGGTTTGGAGTTCCTTGCCCAGTTCTACAACATTATTATTATTGTCTGAATTATGACAGCGCTGAAATTTCCTGATCAAGCTCATGGGCTTGCTACAGTAGGCAATTTATGAAGACAGGGCAAGATCTGGTCCCCATTCTAAACAGTGTGTATTCTGATTAAACTTTATCATTTGTAGCACAATCTGCCCTCAGTGAGTCATAAATAAACCTGATGAATCCAATTTTTTTCATTTTTCACAGGAGTGGAAAAAACCTGCCTAATTTGAGCTGGATCACACTACTCCATTCTAGAAGAGGCAGGGAGGAAGAACTGCTGTGGATCTGAACTCAGATTCCATTTCAAGAGTGTCAGAAACACATGAAAAAATTCCAAACAGAGAAAAAAGCCTTTAAGATTTTTAACTTAAGCAGGCAGCTCATATCTGCCTCTTCTTTCCACCACAGTTCACTCAAATGTCAATCTGGTTTTTAGGCCTGCAGAAACACCTTGCATTCTTAGCAGCGCCCTCACAACATGGACCCAACTAGACACAATTTCACCTATCCAGCTCTTTCCCACACTTCTTTGTTATCCTGAAGCTTTTGCATGTATTACAGATTCATTTTGTCTGTGGTCCACCCCAAGAAATGAGATCATTCATCCTGTACCACACTGCTGCACCTCCAGCTTGCGACCTAACCTTCTTCCAGGACCTCTGCCCTTTGTGAGGTGAGACTACAGCAGCTGAAGCGATTTCTGTTGATTTGTGTCTCCAAATTTATGTCAGATGGAGGATGTCAGTAAAATGTCCTCAATGACAAACTCCACTGCCAGACTCAGTCTATAAAAGTTGAATTTGTTGGCCTTCTGTGCTCTTAGAAAGTCTTTCTATTTACCCAGGCTCTTCCTGAAAGGATGGGTGGGGTGAGGATGGGCTTTGTTAAAACACCCAGTGGGGAGCGTTCTTTGTGTCACTGTTGATATTCAGTCCCATTTTGTTTATGATTACATATGTCTTTAATCTTTTTATTGTTTGCTTAATTTGTGTTATGATAGGCACATAAAAACCTGAATATAAACAACTGATCAATCTTCACCTCCAAAAAAAAAAGCAAACCATAACAAGTACAGATGCTTCCACACAGGGCTTTGCGTGTCAATCTCAGCTGTATTTCATCCAAGTCATATCTAAAAATGTGCTGAATGGTGGGGGGCAGTTGTGGGGAAAACTGTTTTTTCTAATCATTCACCCCATCATTCAGTGAGAGCTGCCAGCATTCTGCTCAGACCTGCTCAAGAAGACTCATTTTTATGAGGGAATGAGCAGAATTTCAGTCTAAAATGCTCATGCTTCAAGAAGATGTAGTGAGTGAAAACAGGGGATTATGCTGGAGACATGCAGACATGCCACCACAGTTCTCAGTCCAATGCTGTGCATGAATGCTGTTATTAACACCCATATTTTTCACATATTTCTCCAATTTGACATGCACCGTGTTGGTTTTTTTTCACATTGAATGTAGAAGAGACAAGTGGATAAAATTAACCGATGGCTGGAAATGAAAACAAATTAAAACTGGAAATTAAGCCCATGTTTTGAACAGTGGGGATAATTACATACACAAGAAATGATGGTACATCCATCTCTTGCATCTCTGCATTAAGATGGATGCCTTTTTGGAAGTTATACTACAAAATAATACCAATTTTGAGGTTCATTGTATGGTGAAATTCCACTAACAGTTACGTATGGGAAGTTGGACCAGATTATATGGTGGCACCTGCTGGATTTAAACACTACAGCCTTCCATTTACAAACAGCACACGTTTCTCATTTTGCTCACAACTTATCTCTGTCTCAGCAATATTTTTACTCTGTTTATCCATCCATTCTCCACAGGCACACAGCCTGTACTCCTGAGCAGGCAAATCACCCAGATGTGCACACAGTTCTCAGGCCAAAACAGAGACTGATGCACCTTTCAGTGTATTGTGTTCTCATTCACTTCATTTTCATACTGGGTTTCCAAGACACTTTCTTCTTTTTCATAGCTCCCAAGATTTCAGGGATTACTATTTTTTTCTGGAGGATAACCACTTATCAAGTAAGTTTTCAGAAGAACATTCTCTCTGTCAGACCTGGTATCCTTAATTTCCT